CCAGCGGAGAAATTGAGCTTTAACGGAAAACCAGTGTCGAAGTGTGTTCCAGACTCACTATGAACAAACTTCTCCTTGAATGTTTGAAGCGAATCAATGGGCCAAATGGTCAAATGGGTTGTGGGGTTTGAAGACAGACTGCCTTCTCCCCACTGGAATCAATGACCATGACTATGACACCGAACGGAATCCCTCAAAAAGCCGACCTCGGCTACGACGATCTTTCGGTGTTCAAAAGGTGGCCAGATGGAGAAGGACCCAATGACTGCGCGTCCATGTCCACGTCCGCCCGGGTCTGCCCGCGTGCCCCGGTTCGCCCCTGCTTGACCATGCCACTGTGCAAAAAGGGCGGTGTACAAGAGGTGAGCTTGACACAGCCAGGTGCTTTTCGAAACCTGATGACCGTGACGGTGAATGCGGATTTACCGCCACATGGCAGGAGAAGGAGGGACGCAACCCAACTTGATGGCCACAAATCATAGCAAAACACAAGTATTTCTTTTCGCTAAGAATTGCGATTCTATGAACAGGAACCTAGATCAGGCACCATGTATATAATTCCGCCCCTTTACTGACCCTTGATCCGGTGTAACTTTTTGGCCCACAGCTTTTTCAGCAAGAAGTCAAGAATAGCAAAGGCAATAGCTGGTGCCTTACATGGTGTCATGTGAAGGTACTCCAGAGAAAATGGGATATTATTCTAGCATATTTCTAGTAAGCTTACTAGATTTATAAATATTATTCCAAGATGTAGTTGTATAGTTGCATATCTTTAATGACCATTTATAAAGGCTATATGACATGCTGTCAAAAATAACATGAATATGTATATATATAATGAAAGGACAACAACTAAACGGAAAAACATAAGAACAATAGGCACACACACAATGATAAAAATATGTCTCTCATCTGTTTGTTGCAAGGAACTAAGTATCCTACCTTTTTCAAGCTAGGAAAAATATACCAAAGGTAATACAGAGCCAAGAAAAAAAGGAACTGACATAAACAAAAGACACACAATCAATCAAATTGGGCTGGGGCTGCCACTCAGTGGCCATTTGCAGCTGGTGAGTTTCCTTCTTCTCCAAAAGACTGAAGCATTGCCTTGTTTTTGATCAGGGCTGCAACGCTGTGTTCTTGCAGCCCTTCTCTTTTGCGTCTTGCTGTTCCAAGGTGGCTCCGACTCATCGGTATAGTATATTTTTATATATATAATATGCTATCCTCCCTCCCTGTACCTGCCTTTCATCGCAAATGTTTGGACATGAGTTGCACAGCCGTATCAAAGAAAAATATTTGTGGATTTGTGGATGCAGAACTGCACATTAAAGTTCAATTAAAGATATTTTAAGACTTGTGTGAAAACAAATTGGAAATAGATTGACAAATCACACAAGTTATACTTATTTGAACATCAAGTGAAACTATTTCCAATTGAATTCAACCCAAATTCAAGAATATACTGAAACTAATTGATCAAACATTAAACTATATAAAAACACTACAATAGTCAGCATATAGAAAATAAGCACGAAACACTGTAAAACACGGTGTTTCACACAACAGGTAGGTACGGGGGTACCATATATATATATGGGTCTATCCCATTACCAGTAACATTGGCTGATGATGGTTGGTGAAGGCCGTTCTCTAAAATGAGTGATAATTGTTAACTGACTGTTACAGGTAGTAGGACAGACCCAACATATATACATACAAGCACACATATGCTTTTCAATAACCCAGGACACATTTCGATGGGTTTCTTGGCTTTGTACAAAAGCTGGTCGCACACCCTATGCCCTTTGTCATATCTTTGAGGCTTTTCCAAATGAGACACCCAACACCAGGGTAGAGGGACGACAACTAAAAAAGGATCAATGGGATGCTGGTGTACATGCAGGATTCGTTCTTTCTTACAGAAAAATACCAGCATAGACCCCAAACAGCTTTAAAGCGATTCACTTGGACCAATATTAGTCAAAAACGTTTTCTTGGTGCGCTCTACTCTTGCCCTAAGAGCAAACTGCTTTATCAGTGAGTTCGGCCACACTCTTCTCCAGTAAGCCGGGCCACAGAGACCAGCCACAGAGTTCAGGGGCGCGGCCAAGACAAGGACAAGAGGAGGACAAGACCCGGACACAGAGCCGGGCCACAGAGGGGCGCGGCCAAGACAAGGGCAAGAGGAGGACAAGAGGAGGACAAGGCCCGGACACAGAGCCGGGCCACAAAGCCCAGCCACAGAGCCCAGCCACAGAGTTCAGGGGCGCGGCCAGCGAGTGTGGCCAGCTCTTTTCTTTCTAAGATAGAACCCCAACAGTAAACTGCTTGGGGAAAAACTGGAAAACTGAGTCAACAAACAAATCAAGGTTCCTATAAAATTACATTGCTCCAAATTCCACAGGTTAGTATATAACCATTAGTGGATTCTGAAATATTACCCAAGTCTGCGTCAGTACTACCCGGCATTCACCCGTGGAAGCAGCGCGCCTTGTATCTGCCTCATAGGCTTCTCCAAGCTTCCTGTGAAGCTCCCAGAAATCCCTCTCCATCGGCGAAGTCGAAGTGCCAAAACGCGCCGGTTCCTCTGGTTCTGTGATTGATTGCTGTCTGACAGTGACTTGGCCAGTATCAAATTCGCCAGGGTTGGGTCTTGGTCTATGACCTGTGCATCTTTGGCGAGACGAGCCAGCCATTCGGATCCTGGTTCCAGAGCAGCTGCGAATCCGGACCAGGCGAAGCCTGTGGAGAGATGTCTTTCACCACTGTTCAACGCGTTGGAGCAAACTTTCATCGAACACAGCTAAATATATCTAAATATCACTTATAGAAATTATATATACTATACATATTTTTGTTACCAACGCCCCTTATGGCAGTCCATACGGCAACCAGCTGGAGCAAGGGAACATGTCCAGTTCAGAACTCTGTGCGGCCATCGGCCCGATGAGATGTGAGCCCAGCTGTCGGGTTCCTTTCCTGTCCCTGTCGAGTTCCATGAGCTCCAGACATATTGCGCTGTTGAAAGTACCAAATAGAGACCTTGGTGAAGCTCGTTTCAAGCTCTGGTCCCGGAGTCGATTCGATCTTGCTCAAAAGCAAATATGTTTAAACACATGAGTCTTCAGGAGAACCATGGAGAACCTCAATTCCGCCTTTGCCCAAATGGCATTGCCCTGCTTTTCTTCTCGTTTTCCCAACCCAAAAGTTCAAATGGGTGTTCGGGACTACGCGCTCATATCCTAAAGTACAGTATGGACATGTTTCTAGGAACATCTACTGCAAGGAAGCAGGAAGCATCAACGAAAAGCGCAAAACCGTCCTCCACACCGCTTGTAACAAAGGTGGTTAGACTCTTCCACCTCCAACCAATGTGTTAGACTTTTTGGTTTGGGGGGGGGTTGTCAAGACAGGTGCACAGATGCACCCGTCCCATTTTCCGGTCCGGCCTGTCAGGGCGATCTTCATCGTCCGACTGGAGCCTCATGGGCAATTCGGCAGAATCGTCAAACCATACCGGGTTGCCGGTATCAAACAACCACGTTATGACTGTCACTCGAGTCTGTGTGTGTGTGTGTGTCAAACCCCGTTCCAAGGGGAACTAACCTACTCTACTCTATTTCGCTGAATTCTACCTTGTACAGCAGCAGGGGGGCAGTGAGTCTCTCAATCCATTGCCCAACGAAGACGGTGGTTTGAGACTGTGATATTCCCGAGGGACGCCTTGGGAACGTACCTGCACCAATTGTTTAACTTATCTTAAAGAGCTAATGATTGCGTTTGTTCAAAAATTCGGTTGTGCTGACCTTTCATTTTTACGGTTTTGCAAGTCAAGCGCTAAGTATTCACATAAAGTGCTAATGCTCACCGCGAATTGTCTGAAGCCACGCTCGGCGGCCCTGTCGCTTTCGTATGCGCTCATATGGTTTTCACTCACAGCACACAGTCGTGCATCGTCGTAGCAAAAAAGGAGCCAAGCTTCGCACGTCATCACGGCGAAGGCTCACTCCAAAAATCGGCGCCAGAAAGTTGGACAATTATTTCCATCGAGGTTCACTCGCCGTTGACGGCATTCATGTTCGTCTTAGCAAGTCAACGAGGGTGTTCACTCACTGGTCTTTTTGACCCGGGGTCTGACCCGAACCCCGTGACCCGAAACAGTTCCCTGACTCATTGCATCCAAAAAGTTGGGCCATCACGGCGTTGTTTTCTGAAGCGAGTTGACTCGCTTCCAAGTTCCTCGCGGCGGCCAAAAAACACTGTCCTTTGGACCAAAGTGGTTTTCTGCCACGAAAAGGCGTGCACACTTGGAGAAGTCTCCAACCTCTTATAGCAATTGGCTGTAGCTGCTCTATCCCTTCACAAATTTGAAGTCGACAGACGAGAAAGGCCGTGGAAGGAAAAGAATGTAAATGCACTTCTATTTGCATAGCCTCTCATCCAACACCCAATAATAATAAGACCAAATATGAGTTTCATTCTTCTTGAGGACCCCGTTGAAGGGGTATTGTAACTGTCCTTGGTTGATTAAGCCCCTGGTTTTTGAGAGTAGGGAGAAATCCTCTTTTGATGGGGCAACAAAAAAGGAGCTGGGCAAAATCACCACATGGTTGCACATACACAGCCAAGTTTCAGAAGGGGTATAACTATAACCAAATACCGTATAACCTGTTCTGTTTGATGTGCCTTCAGCAGAATGTCTCATGACTTTGCTAGGCAAAGCGGTAAATCAACTCGACCTCACAACATGGATGAGCCAAGCTGAAGGCCCCTGTTGTGAAAAAGACACCAAGGAAGCCCAAGGAGGCAACCTCTTGCGGCAGAGATCCACGCCGTAGCATACCATACAGCCATGTGGCTGCCACTCTCAACCCCAGTGGTTCACTCCCCCACCAAAAAGAAGCACGAACGGCGGAGATGCCAGCGAACCTCGAGAAATGCTTTGGGTGCGTTTCTCATTCTGATCCACACTTGTCCACACCCTCCCCTTCTTGTCCAACATGAATCATGAACCAATGGTTACGAAGCATCTCAGTTGGTCGAGAGGTCTCACGTCGCCAGGTAAGCTCGCCGACATCGGCTCGCCAACCTGAACCCATTAAACTCATTAGACTTGACAGGAACAAGCCGCTATGCTACCCTTCCAGTTACCATGTTACACCCAAATAGCTTCCACATCTTTGATGCCATGATGCGCACTACACCGGACTCCATTGAAGGTTCTTGGACCTGCAGCTCAACCTGCCAAGAGGAGCTTTCTTTCGGTCTTGAATTCACCCGCAAAGTCTGAAGCTCCGCACGTTGTGACGTTTGATGATACCCCCGTCTGACGGGCTTGGAAGTGGAAGGTTTTTGTTCGGATGAATGTGGTGTACCACGAAACACATGTACAGTACCGTTGTAGGGACATCCCACAAGATAGAGCCAGGGATCCCCCCCAAAAGCATTGGAACCAAACACAGGTGGCATTGGAGGTTCTCCCACGCATTGGACCTCGTTGTGTCTATTTGTGTCCATCGAATGTACTGTACATCCTGTACTGTACGTCCCTGTCAGATCCATCAAAACTTGTGGAACAACGCAGTGTACCGGTGTATCGCAAGACGCCATCCTGAAACCTGATGGAGTGTCCCATACTAAACCATCCATGAACATGGCCAACGCAGCCATGTGGGGTACACCCCAGCCGCCCACTCTTCAGATGACCATCTTGACCTTCTGGAACCGGAAAGAGAAATCCCATGAGGTACCTCGTGGGGTACGCTGGTACGCAGGATCTCTATAGCGGCTCTCAGGGAGTCTAAACCCGTTAGGATCGTTTCGCTGAAAAGCGAAGGAGCTTCAGTCTCGCCCTCATGTGAGCTCAGGAGCGGTCTTCGTCGCTCGAGATCGCTCGAATAAGCCTCGTAAACACGAGAACCTGAGCGCACACCGCTGGGTTCGTGCGGACGCACGGCGGACATTCCACCCCCCTCAATTGAAATCAGGAGTACCTTGAATCACCATCCTCAGGTCTACAGTGGACGTTTTCGAACTTGTGAGTTCATCTGTGACAAACGTCGTTCGTTTCGTTCGTGGGAACTTAGCTCCGGTTTCAACCCAGACCCACCCTTCAGCAATCCACACGGTAGAGAACTCCCCAAATGATTTCGTTCAAGATTTTTTTTAACTCAAGTAGTAACAAGAAGCTATATATGTATATAGTATGTTTAAATGGTTTGGGCCGTCCGGCCGATGTAATACGACCAGCGCTATGCGATTCAACTCAGTCCCAGGTCTATGTCTGAACGCGATGCAACCGAGGAATCTCCCTGGTACCTCTTCAGATCAAACGCCAAAAAACACAGAAACTCAGACTCATACAGTACAAATTAGTGTCTGGCTTCAAAAGGTTGCAATACCCTTTGGCCTTCAAAAGATCTCAAACGAGGGGGTGGTTTTAGGATTCAAATACTTAAGCCTTGAGTCCTTGAGCGTATGGCTGTGGGGCAACACCGTGCACTCTCGGTTTTCACCCCCTAAAGCAAATTAGAGAACAGATGTTCGCTCCGTTGTGCGCAGCGAAGCGAGCAGCCACACCCAGGAGAGGATTTCAATGAGAATCCGCCGTTGCGAGAGATTGAATGAAATCAGACGAAATCCTAGACCTATAAACACCTCCAACAGTCGCCTCTCGTCGCATCTCTCGCCTCGCAGATGCGAGCACTCCCTTGAAATGCAGGGGCAGCGAAGCAATGCCTCGGGCCGTGGGGGTGAGAGGGTTTTGCTCAGCCTTTGTTGGTTTCTCTCCACCAGCCTTGCCAGCGTCTACTCTTCTTTTCTGGAGGTTTGGGTTGTTGAAAGCGCAAAGCTGCACTAGAACTGTATCCGGATTCCGGATTCTTGCCTGAAAACTATGCCACCAAGCGTTCGTCCTCTTAGTCATCCTCGTCCTCTTCGTCCTCCGGGTCCTCTTCCTCCTCTTGCTCTTCTTCTCTCTGTATCTCTTTCGTGCTTCTGGTCATACCCACTTGGTGTGTGCCCGACTAGCCTTTGCACCAAGCATTCCAACAGCGAAAACCCTGTATTTTCATGTTGCAAGGTTTTCTATGTTGATTTTGCGCATACCTTTTGCATCAACCACATCTTATTTACGCCAACAACGTGTTCACCTTGACACACCACCAAGCTTTTACACCAAAACACAACAGCTCCATTTGCACAAGTGAGTCTTTCTCTAACAAACCTTTACACACACACAAGCCTTTACACATGTACACCACACCTGCATTTACACAATCATGTTTTAGTTAATTACACAGCATGTCCTTTCTAGACTGCAAACATCTGCTGCTACACAAAACATATTGCAAAATGTTTACAAATATGTGTGAAAGTTGTTCATGCAACAATCAACACCAACTGCTTTGCATGGTTTCATTCCCAAAGTCTGTGAAGCAATGTTTTCTTCCTGTGATTTTTCTGGCTCTGTATTTGTCAAACCAACCAACCAATAGAATACTGCATCTTTCCATGTTTTACACTTGCTGGTTTTCGTACGTGTTTTAGGAGTCACAAACCCGGACAGCAGAATTTGCTGTGCAATCCAGGACGTGCTGGTATGATTGTCATTGTTGAGTTGTATTGTTCCGGAGTTGTGCAGCATGTGTTCTTGGCATCGTGGTTGTGAGGAGTGGTAGCCATGTTTGTGTCTTGCTTGCTCTGTTGGCATGTGAACAGTGAGACATCACAATTCACTTGGCCCAATGGGGCTGTAGATTATTGGGACACCAGCCCAAAAGACCGTGCAGCCAAGTCTCTGGTTCGTCTAGCCACGATGTCTTTGGATTCGGAGAGGTCAGTTGCACGGCCCATATCCACCCTGGCATTCCTGTGGAGCCACGGGAGGGATCCGACGTTCCCGAAGCAGAGATATACATGTAGACATGCCGTGGCAGGCTGAGGCGTCGACAAAGGTAGGGGTCGATGTAGCATCGCATTTGGGCATCCCAACAAGCAGCAACAGGCTCTGACCCAAGAGAAAAATGTGGTGCCAACAAAAGTGACATGTTGAGATCCTCAAATGCTCAAAGCCTACTGGCTGCTCAAAGCCTACTGGTTGAGATTTGTTGATTTAAAGCACCTATCGAAGGGCAACTCGACTCAACCAAGGTTCAATTTCTGACGACGACACCTCCAACTGCTCATTTATCTGCACCTTTTCAGATCCAAAATTTCCACCCAAGAAAACACGGTCAAAGCCCCCTTTGATCAGGCATGCACCCTCCACGTCCATGAACCTCACAGTCGATCCATGCTTGTTGACCACAGAGTAGAGTGCATATTTACGATATGATATATTCATATACTAGTGCTGCTGCTGCTGCTGCTGCTGCTGCTCCTGCTCCTGCTCCTGCTCCTGCTACTGCTCCTACTCCTCCTACTCCTCCTACTCCTACTACTCCTACTACTCCTACTCCTCCTTCCTGCCTACCTACCTACCTAGCTAGCTAGCTACCTACCTACTTACCTAACTACCTAACTACCTGCAAACTAACTTACTTACTTACTTACCTTACTTACCTAACTAGCTAACGAACTAACTTAACTAACTTAACTGACTAACTAACTGACTGACTGACTGACTGACTAACCAACTAGCTAGCTAACTAACCAACTAAACTAAACTAAACTAACTAACTAACTAAACTAACTGACCTAACTAAACTAAACTAACTAAACTAAACTAAACTAACTAAACTAAACCAACTAACTAACTTAACTTAATAACTAAGCAACGAACGAACGAACTAAACTAACTAACTAACTAACTGACTGACTGACTAACTGACTAGCTGACTAACTAACTAATCTAAATGAACTAACTATGTAACAAACTAACTAACTAACTAGAAAAGCTAACTTAGCTAAATTCAACTTGGCTAACTAACTAGCTGACCAACTAAACAAACTAACTAACCAACCAACCAGCCAGCCAACCAACGAACTAGCTAACTGACTAACTCTAACTAACCGACTTTTGCAGCTCTTACCTTTTCCTCCCAAACCTTCAGCCAAGCACAACAACACTTCACAAAGTGCAAAAAAACGTCTTCAAGCTACTATCGCCGCTCGACTTAAACGACGCGACGACGACGACGACGACGACGACTGCTACTACCACGACTACTACTACTACTACTACTACTACTACTACTACTACTACTACCACGACTACTACTACTACTACTACTACTCCTACTGCTACTACTACTACTACCACTACTACTACTACTCCTACTCCTACTCCTACTCCTACTCCTCCTCCTGCTACTGCTACTGCTACTGCTACTGCTACTGCTACTGCTACTCCTCCTACTCCTACTCCTACTCCTACTCCTACTCCTCCTCCTCCTACTACTACTATTACTACTACTACTACTACTACTACTACTACTACTACTACTACTACTA